AGATGAACATTTAAATTCAGTATTTGAGGTACTTCTTACTGACAATGGCCAGAAGAAAGAGACAAAAGAGGTTGGTTTGGAAAAAGCTAAAGGCAGAAGGCACAGTGATGATGACTGAAATCTAGCTATATACAATGATATTCAAATAGAATCTTTCTTGAAAGGTCATATAGATAAACATAGCTGAATTTTAATAAATTTAATTAATTACATATTAAATAGTTATCTTACTCTAAGAGGTGGTTTTGATCTACCCTAAGTATTGAGAGTGATCTGTAATACTCATTGTCCCCAGTCTCTTAGTCATAAGGTAGTTGAGTGAGGGATGGAGAATGTCCCTGTTTTCTTCTTATGATAAAACTATGTTCCATTCTAAGTACTCCACCGAGAGCACATAAAAAGACAATCAATACTTTCTGGGAAAAATAACATTATTAGTACATCAAGACCCTGGAGATATTTTATATCCCTACTTTGTCATTTTCTGCTAAAGTAGAATATGAAATTCCAGGGAGACATTTTCAACATCATTCATTGTCGTTAATCTTTTTGTTAAAAATATTTATTAGGCACATAACCCTGTGCCAGCAGCTCTTCTCACTGCAAGGCTATGATTCTTTATCATGATATTGTGTCAAATATCTTTTTTATTATTCATTACTTGAGTATGTGTCAGTTATACAGGGCTTTTGAGAAACACCCACCATCCCAGAGGGAAAATGGGAGGAGAATTCCTTGAGTTGTCTCAGTTGCTGAGACAATGAAATAGAACTTCTTAAAATATAATGTAATAGAATATAAAATATACACATTGCCTAAAAGTCCTTCAAATGATAATACATTTTTGAAATATCTAGAGTGCTTTCAGCTACATGTGTGGATATCTGAGAATACTGTCTGGATGTTCAGAGACATTGTTCCTCATTAGTATCTTACGGAGATTGCTTTTCCTCATTTGCTTGGGGAAGAAAGCTGGAATAATTAAGAAAAGTTTTGTTTTCTTCAAATTAGAAGTTGGAAGAACAAGGTTAATATCCCTAATGCAAATGAAAGGTGATGATCCAGTTTGCTGAAATGTTGTTTACTAAGAGGGGAGCCAGATGGCTTTTTCTGATAGATCTCTAAAATGAGAACAGACTCACCAAGTATGCAGGTATGTCTTTTACTCTTTTGCTGTTGAACCCAGAGGAATAGGAAGAAGAAGGAGAGGCAGAATAAAGCACTTACACACATCCAAAAAGGCCCATATCTGAATGATATGACCTAACTGGGGTTTTAGAAAAACAGTCAAAGACAAATATCTCTAGTACATGTTAATAGAAAATGGTGCTATTATTGTATGAAATGGCATTTAACTTGTTTATGTGTGAACAATAGTGCTGCCTATAGGTATATATGAAAGCAAAGTTTTTATAGGGTGTTGTTATAAAGGAATGATGGCCATATCCCTCTTTTTTGGAAAATGATCATCTCAGAATAAAGACAAAGTCGAGGTCCAAAGGCAATTCCCCACAGAGTTATACTAATCAATCTAAATAAAGTGCAATAATACGGAATATGAAAAACATTTTTTAATGAACTTAACATTTTGCATTATGAAATATATTGATCAAAAATAGAAAAGATAGGGGTGCTTGGGTGGCTCAGTTGGTTAAGCCTCTGCCTTCAGGCTCAGGTCACGATCCAGGGGTGCTGGAATCCAGCCTGCATCACGATTCCCGCTCAGTGGGGAGTCTGCTTCTCCCTCTGCCTCTGGCCCTCCCCCTACTCCTGCTCACACACACTCGGTCTCAAATAAATAAATAAAATCTTTAAAAAAATAGAAAAGATATGTTGTTAACGAGATATCAAAGATAAAACTTCTTTGTAATATTTGACACATTCCTGGCTATTTTCATCAATTGAGAAGTACATCAGATCTGAACTTTGTGTTTTCCAGGTTACCAGGGATGAGCTTGTCACTTTGTATAGGGAATAGAATTACTCTTGTGAAAAACCATGGAAGTAGAGTCAGGAAATCATAGGTGAAGGAGTCCAGTAGACTGAGCTGCTCTGGATGTTCCTTAGTAGAAGCCACAGGCCATTATCTGCCCCAGCAAGATGGGCAACCTCAGCCATGCCCACATCCACTCTACCCACACCCAGAGCCAGAGCCATAGGGCAGGCTGCCATAATGGTGGTTGTAATAGTGCATGGTATCAGGAGGAGAGGTTTCCATTGTGGAGCAGGGAACTATTTTCCTCAATTTGAATGTCAACATCTCATAGGGAATTTTACACACCTTCTATGGTGTATGAGGCAGTATGACCTCATATTTCAGGCAAAATTTAATAAGAAAGCTTCATGAAACACTTATGTCAGTAATAAGGAGATGTCCTTATAGCAAATATTATTAACTGTTTTTCTTGGAATACAATAATCATATCACATGTCCTTAACTAGATTCTTGTATTTTAGGGATCTTCTTGCTCTGGTTTTGTTTAAAGCCTATACTCAGGTTCCTTGAAATGTTGATACTCAAGCCCTTAGACCCAATTTTCCTTGTTTTTTTCTTAAAATAGTAATTTCTATGGCATATTTAGATACACAATCAAGGAACTGAAGTGTATCTATTTGAGTGAGGAAGTGATAAAAATGAGGAATTATCTGAAGTAAAATATCTTTTAAATTATATAATTCCTTTCCATCAGGCAAATAACTCCTCACACCAAATAATGTTTTCTACTACTTACTGATGATGAACTGACTATATTGACATTAAAGTGCTAATGTAAAGCTGCACTTTTTTCATCCTGAGAATTTTATCTATTTGTGAACCATGACTTTCTATAGGAGTATGCCATTATATTATGCAATGAAGCATTTATTTAGAAATTCAAATATTCATGCTGGGTGTCCTCCCTCCTCTACCTTTTGGGTTCTCATATACTCAAATTGGCTTTAAAGTCATCACTGAATTTCTCAAGGAAGGTTTTCTTGAAATAGTGGCAGAAGAAACATGGGACATGGATTTCTCATATCTGCTTCTGCATTCAGTCTGTTGTGGTCGCATGTCATACATAACACTTAGCTGGAAAACTCTAGTGTATATTCATAGGCTTATTAGATTGGAATAGGCAAATATATATATATTATGAAAATAGTTTGGGGTTTATGAACCCCTTGAAAGGGTCTTTGGATCCCACAGATGCCAACAGACCACTATTTGATAAGCCCTGGTCTAGAGCTATGTTCTTCAAACTTTTAAGAAAAAAAGCTAGAGCAGTAAATATTTGGAGCCTGCATCCAAAATTTGAATATAACTATTTATTATTTGTTTCATGCATTAATTCCTGATAAATAATAATTGAATATAAAACATATAAAATTATTTATACCAATAAGAACTCACATTATGATAGGTTATGCTTTAACATGTTAGAAAATTTTTAAGATTTGGTCATATGGAGATTTGAAGTTTTGGTTCTAAGTTCAGTTTATTATAATTATTAGAAAAAATGTATTATTTATTATACTCACCAAATCATTTTTTTAAAATGTGTTGAATCAATCTGAATCCCATTATCTAGTTATATAATTTATTTTTGAAATTTGACTAATAAATATATATCCTCCTTAATTTCAACAGTTTGCTTTTACAAATTATTTTGAGAAGCTTTGTTTTTATGTAAATAGGGTCAAAACCCTCTTCAACTCTTCATTTGGAAAAATTTAAACACATTACATTATTCAATTTTCACATTTTAATATTACATAGATATCAGTGTCTTACAGATGGTACATCTATATAAAACTTGGTAACATGGGGCGCCTGGGTGTCTCAGTCCGTTAAGCATCTGCCTTTAGCTCAGGTCATGATTTGGGGTCCTGGGATGAGCCCCACATCAGGCTCCCTGCTCAGTGGGGAGCCTGCTTCTCCCTCTCCTACTGCCCCTCCCACCCACTTGTGCTCTCTCTCTGTCTCTCAAATAAATAAAATCTTTAAAAACAGCAACAACAATTCAGTAACATGACAATAGAAACAATCTCAAATAATCTTTACAAAATACTCTCTTCCCAAAACAGCAGTGTGCCTGGCATTCTTTACACACTGAGTATTGAATGAATGAAAGCCTGAATGAACATATGAAGTGGACTTCCTAATCAAAATAATCTCACATAAAGAGATTTGCTAAAGACAGCCAGGTTCTCAGGGCTGGTACAGCACTCCCTATGTCCAATTCCAGGCCAGACATGAATTCTAGGTGAATGACATCAGACACCTGAGAAGTTTTCTTGTGAAGCTACCAGAAAGCAGACGCCTGGAAAACTCAGAGAAGCACCACTTAAAATATGGGTGTGTTCCTCTGTGTTCCGGGGAAACAAGGGCAGACAGCCAGCTCCATGCAGCTCTCAGAATTCAGGTATGTTTTGAATTATTTGGCCTGTGAATTAAAGAGAAGCCAAATTTATTGAGGAGGAAGCAATCAGCTGTGTCACCTGGAAGCTCAGCTTTAAATAGTATGGGAAATATGTAGAGGGACCAAAAAAAAAAAAAAAGAAAGAAAGAAAAAACAAATGGAGGAAAATAGCATCACTCCCTTTGGAGAGTAACTACACACACATTTTTATCTTATAATCATCCGTATGCAAAAATGACAGTGAAAGTAAATAAATGTGAAAGCATATCATCTTTGCAAGAAAGATTAAATTTATTGAAAGAAGTACTTAGAGATCAAGGGGAAACTTCTGTTGCATTTTAAAAGATATTCTTTATGATCTTGCACAACGGAACCAGAGAAAGATGATATCTGTACTTCTTTCATGATAGCCTAGATTTAGATTTTTGCTATTTTGAAAAGATGGGATGGGATAAACAAGACCAGCAGCAGAATCCATGTTTCATGGGAGGACAAACCTGGTGGGTCCAGTCGTTCTAGAATTTTCCGGTAGAATCCATATGACCAATATCTTCCATAGCAAGATGGGTGGCAGCAGCCCTATCTGTAGCCACCGTACCCATGACAGCTAGAGTCATAGTCACAGCTGTAGCCACGGCCAAGCGCACCATAGCCTTAGTCCCCATAGCCGCTGCTGTACTAGATCATGGTGTCAGGGAGGATGGTGCAGAAGAGGAAGATACTTCCCTGAGTTTGAATATCACTATCTTCATAAGGTCTTTTATATATCCTTAGTAGTAGGTATGGGAAGTCACAGGCAATGTTGTCCTTATTACAAATTATTTTGCATTAACTATGAACGCCAACAGCAAAACTCTCATAGATCTCTTATTTCATTAAGCATAGTGAGGCCTCCATACCCACAACTACTCTGCTGTTGTGTCAAGATTTTCACAGTCAGATCATGTATATTGAACGACAGCTCTCTGACTTGGTTTTCTCACTGGGGGCTCAAATTTAAATTCCATAATGAAATTCTATGAAATCACAGAAACGATGCAAACTGATTCCAATTGTTTTGGGTGTATTAATAACCTCAAATTCATCTGCCCATTGCAGTTGAAAAAGTTACTCTTGTTTAGCTTTGGAAAAATCGAAGTGTTAAGGGGTAAGTTTTATTTAAAGTATGAGATATGTAATATTGCCCAATATTTCTTTTAAAGATAAAACAATTCATTTTATTTTAAATACATAATTCAGGTAACATTTTATTTTATTTTATTGGAGAGAGAGAGCAGAGAGAGAGAGAGCATGAGGGGGGTGAGGGGCAAAGGGAGAGGGAGAAGAAGACTCCCCACTGAACAGGGAGCCCAATGTGGGGCTCGATCCCAGGACCCGAAGATCACGACCTGAGCCGAGGGCAGACTCTTAACCAACCGAGCCATCCAAGCACCCCTCAGGTAACATTTTTTTTTTTAAAGATTTTATTTATTTATTTGAGAGAGAGAATGAGATAGAGAGAGAGAGCATGAGAGGGGGGAGGGTCAGAGGGAGAAGCAGACTCCCTGCTGAGCAGGGAGCCCGATGTGGGGCTCGATCACCGGACTCCAGGATCATGACCTGAGCCGAAGGCAGTCGCTTAACCAACTGAGCCACCCAGGCGCCCCAAGGTAACATTTTTTAATAAAAAAACTTTACAAGGGTACAAATATGCTTTATTTTCATATTTTACCAAATTCTATCTTGAGTCACCATTTCCACTAGATGGTAAAACATTTATTCTTGTCCCTTCCAGGTAAGTAACAAAGTTCAATGACATTCTAGTGTGCAGAATGAAAGCTCAATTGAATTAAAGGTTTCACCACTCCTGCTTTTCCTGAGGTGGACTCCAATGTGCAGACGGATGCTAGTGATTGGAAGGGAGGACCTGCACCTGTCCTGCACTGACACGTGTGGCTGCAGAGGGCAAATTGCCATTTCCCATTAACCAAAAATCTCCCCTGGTCAATGCATTACCTGCCATTCAGTGCATGGCTCTACAGCCAGAAAAATTTTTCATTGTGCTTGGGAAAATAATGAGTCTGAACTCAAATCCATCTGGGTAGGCACCAATTGTTATATTCTCTACCTGCTTGTGTTATGTTTGTTGGGTCACTCACGGGACTTGCTCCTTCTCAGGAAAATGAGAGTGTGCTTTTCTCTACTTTTAGATGCACAACCATAAGGTAAGTTTTCTCTTTCCTTCAGCTGCAATGACCCGCGACTCCCAAATGAGGACTTAACCATGTCTGAGTTCTCCTGTTCAACTCATCCACTCTCCACTAAAGCTTAGATCCAGGGACACAGGGGAAGAAAAAAATAATAATAATAGCAAAGATTATTCTACTACCTACTATGTGCCAGACACTGTTGTAAGTGCTTGACACACACTAGCTAATTTGACCTTCGAAATTGTCTTGTAGGGTAGGTGTTATTATTCCTAACTCATTTGCAGACAGAACAACTGAAGCACGCTGTGATAGTGGTCACAAAGCTACAAGTGATAGAAGTAAGATCTGAACCCAGAGAGCTGATTTCAGAAATTGTGTTCATATCTATTATGCTCTGCTGACTCCTACGAAGTCATCTTACTAAGAATATAAGATTAGAGGGCTATTTCACTTGATCATTGAGTTACGCTCTGCGCTGTATTGCATTAAGACAAAAAAAAGCAAAAAAAACCCAAAAAACAAAAAACTGGCCATTAGTAACATGTTTCTCATAGTCCAAGATACTTTACCAAGACTTCATTGTTTGTTGGTGAAAATCTATTAGTGCCATGAAAGATAACCCTGCCAGTATTATTATTTTAAATAAAGAAATGTCTCTATATTAATCTTTGAGTTAAAACACAAATATTACAAATATGTCAAATTTTAAAGAAACTTCTTTCATGAAAACGCAATTTCATAAAGGAAATAAAATCTCATTTCTATTTTCTGGCTATAGATTCAGGACATAAATTTGAAACCATGAAAAAACATTGATGGTTTAAAAATAGAGTCATAAAAGAAAATATTAATGTAAGTGAGAAAGAAAAGCCCAGTTTTCTCAGGCCAGGTGTTCCAGAATTTCAAACTACTAGCTTTTTATTAATAGACTCATGAAATTGAGTGATACCTTTTAGCTTTTCCTAGAAAGCCACTTCTCATGTGAAAATAAGGAAAATCTCTAAAGGGAAAAAAAATAAGTTTGGAACAGAAAAGAAGAGATGGAGAATCTCAAGTTAAGGCAGATTATTATGACCTGTTGAATGCCAGCCAAACGAAGACTGGTTGTTTGGTTGTTTGGAGGTTAGAATGTCTACTACAAATGCTATTTCTTGTCATAAAGACTGGTTACAAATTGCTAACGTGAAGATCTTGTAAAAGTAGGGTTTTGAAGCTGGGACAACTGATTCTTATTAATGACTCACAAATGATTCAATGTGGCTAAACAATAGCAAATGTCATTGCCCCCAAAGCCGTACCCTAAAACCAGGAGTCAACAAGTTACTCACAGAGCTCTTGCAAATTAACCAATGGGATGACTTGTGTGATGGATCCCACCCACATGGAGGGTATATAAAAGGTCTCTGCAGGGGGGAATTGTCCACACTGAAGTGATACTTCTCTCCTTCTCTACCCAAGAAAAACCTCAACAACAAACACCATGTGTGGCAGCTACTACGGAGGCTCTGGCTATGGAGGCCGCGGCTACGGAGGCTGCGGTTACGGAAGCTGCGGTTATGGAGGCTGCGGTTACGGAGGCTGTGGCTACGGAGGCTGCGGTTACGGAGGCTGCGGTTACAGAGGCTCTGGCTATGGAGGCTCTGGCTACGGAGGCTGCGGTTACGGAAGCTGCGGTTATGGAGGCTGCGGTTACGGAGGCTGCGGTTACAGAGGCTCTGGCTATGGAGGCTCTGGCTACGGAGGCTGCGGTTATGGAGGCTGCGGTTACGGAGGCCGCGGCTACGGAGGCTGCGGTTACGGAGGCTGCGGTTACGGAAGCTGCGGTTACGGAGGCCAGGGCTGTGGCTATGGCTCCAGCTATGGCTGTGGCTTCCGCAAACTGGGCTGTGGCTTCCGCAAACTGGGCTGTGGCTACGGATACGGCTCTGGCTGTGGCTACGGATATGGCTCCCGCTCTCTCTGTGGCTCTGGATGCGGCTCTGGCTTTGGCTGCTACTAATTGAGGTCGCCTTGGGAGACTCTCACCCTCCGCACCTGCACGTGGGATTCACCAGGTCTGAGCCCCACACGCTCTGAGCCTTTCCCTTGGGTGATGATATCCTGCGTGATGAAAGTCTAGCAGGGTCTGTTGTTGCCCACAACCTAACCTACAGATTCCCTGAATTAACGCAGGAAGTGGGAGGTGGTGAAATTCACCTGTGACCCCCACAGTTCTGCTTTCATCAGGATGATGGTGTCGGAGCAACTGCCTCGATGATACTCATGCTGGAGCTTGTTTCTGTGTTGACCTAATAAACTTGTTCAATCCCAACGGCAGCCCTGGTTTTATGTCAGTCATTTGATGCCTAGGATTAACTTTTTTTAATTTCTGTTTTCAAGAAAGCTAACAATTACTTTATTTGGGAGATATTTTTCTCTTATTATTTTAGGTCAGTTGTCTTGGAAAAATAATTTTTTTCTTATAAACTTCAGTTTCCTTCTCCTCTGATACTGAGGGAATAATGTCTTATGCTAGGTAACTGTTAACACTGAATCAACTATTACTTATATGTCAGGTTAAGCATTGCCTGACAAATAGTACATGATAAAGAAAAGAACCAATTTCCCAAACTTTCATATTCATGTTCCTTAAAATAAATGAACTTTGTTGCTATATCCTTTTCTTCTTCTTTTTTTAAAAAGATTTTATTTATTTATTTGAGAGAGAGCAGGGGAGAGAGAGAGAGAAAGAAAGCATGAGCAGGGGGGAAGGGTAGAGGAAGAGGGCGAAGCAGGCTCCCACTGAGCAAGAACCCGATGCAAGACTTGATCTTAGGATCCTGGGATCATGACCTGAGCTGAAGGCAGACGCTTAACCAACTGAGCCACCCAGGCACCTTATCCTTCTCTTCTTTTAATCTTCCACTTTAAAGATATCATTTTAAAATAGGTATACATTTTTTAAAGGTATGCATTTTAAAGGTATGAAAGACATAACCCAAGGAATAGTTTAATAATCTTTTACATCCCAAGCTGGTAATAAATTATAAAACTGTTTGGCACGCATGGTGGGCCATAATATTTAGTTAGATGACTCTATTTCAGATACAGTCTGAGAAGTTTCAGGGTCTCAGGAGATTCCAATTCAAGATGTTGGATGGGGCTGTGGTCACTCCTAAAGCTTAGCTTGGGAAGGATTCACTTCTAGACTCATGTTTTGTTGGCAGATCTCAGTTCATTGTATTTGTAGGAATGAAAGGCTCATTTTTTTGCTGGTTTTTGGCCAGAGGCCCTTGCAGGCTTTCTGCTGGAAGTTACCCTCAGCTGCAAAAGGTTGCCCACAGCTCTTGGCTAAGTAAATTTCCAACATGGTTGCTTGTTTTCTCAGAGCCAGCAAGGAAAAAGAAAGACTCCAGTAAGATGAATGCTACGATCTTATGTGACATAATCACACACAACCATTTATATTAGCCATATTTTATAGGTTACAAAGCAAGTCACAAGTCTTCCTCACACTCATATGGAGGGGTCCCACAAGGGCATTTGCATCAGGAGGCAGGAATCAAGGGGTCATGTGGAGAGTCTGCCCACCACAGACTCAATGTTATTCATCCTTCATCATAGGAATTAGTAAATTGTCCTTCATTTTCAGTGCTCTTCAACAATTTAGGTGATATTAGCACCATCTCGTCCTCTAATTTGGTAGAATTCTGAGAGATCATCTGGATCTTGGCTTTTGTGTGAATTATTTTGTTAATTTTCTTTATTACTTCCAAGGAAATTGGACTATTTTTGATTTCTAAATCTAATGGTATCCATTTTAGAAATACGTATTTTCCTAGGAAATTATCTATTTCATATAGGTTTTCAAATTTACATGCATAGAGATCTGAAAAATTGTCTCATATGATGTTTAAAATTTCTTCTATGTTAATGTTCCCTCTTGTTATTTATTTTTTATATGGTTTCTGTCTCTTTTTTTTCTTCATCAAGTTAGATGTTCTGTTAATTTTTTCATTTGGTTCATTATTTAAATAACCTTTTTTTTCTGATTCTCTGCCTCATTAATTTCTGCTTTGCTATTTATTATTTCTATCTGTGCTTTCTTTGTTTTTTCTTAAAGTTTCCTTTGTGTTATAAAATATAATTATGAAATATTAATTTATTTCCTTTCATTTTTACTGATGAAAGTGTTCATCTTACAAATTTTTCTCTAAAAACTGCTTTAAGGGGCACCTGGGTGGCTCAGTTGGTTAAGTGACTGCCTTTGGCTCAGGTCATGATCCTGGAGTCCCTGGATCGAGTCCCGCATTGGGCTCCCTGCTCGGCAGGGAGTCTTCTCCT